ACCACCTGACACTGGAGTGAGGGCTGCTCCCCACGCCCCACATCCTCCAGCGCCGTGGTCACTAACCAGCTACAGAGGGGAAACTGAGGCCCGGGGTACAATCACTGGCCAGAATGCTCTCCTATGAAGTGATAAGTATAGAATAACAGGACACATTGTGAGAAGCTGAGTCAGACAGTAGCCTCGTGGCATGGAGCTTATGATGTGTGAACTGGAGTCGAGCCCAGGGCTGTGTTGAGGAGCGGGTAGTTGGCCTTCAGCGCACGGAGAGGTGGAAGCTGAGCTCACAAGTCATCGGATGTAGTCGGAGCTACGTGAACACTTTCCTGCTTGTCGGACTTTCTCACATCCTCGCTCGCTATGTGAGGAAAATAGGAACAAGCCCTGCTAATTACAGTGCAAGTGAGCCCAGGAAATGCTATTGAGAAACAGGGATCTGTCTGGACAACACAAGAAAAGTGGGGGGGAGAGCACCCTGTCTGTCTCAACTCGGTATCCACAGTAGGGTTCCTGCAGCCCCAGGGACTGATCACCAATTTCCTCCTCTACTTCACGCCGAAATTCCCAAAGAACTCCCCTACTTTTCTCTTACATGGAGTCTCAGTCTTAAGAATGGGCAGACTTCCAGGTATTAACTTCTGCATTCTCATTCAGAATTTAGAACACACTTTCCAACTAAAAAATGTTATGAAGAATGTCAGTGGAGCTACACAGCCAACATAATTCATAAGTTAGCAAAACTATTGTGTTTTTCTTAAAACAGGAAGACAGACCTATTGGCTAAAATGAAATGACATGGTTTATATCTCCCCTAAAAGGCATCTCTCTCCCGCCTGCCTCTCAGTCTCTGACAAATGCAGTGATGGTGGCCGACCCCTGATAGGCCGTGCTGGGCAGACCCAGCCTCTGCTCTCCTCCCACACCTGCGTGCCTGGGCTCACTCACGTCTTCTTGCGCACATGCGCCTTGTGCTCCTCCGCGGAGCCGTCCCAGCTGAGGTAGCCCAGGAGGAACTTCCAGGCCTCTCGCCTCAGGCTGGGGCTCAGACCCTGGGGGCGGAGCGGGCGGAGGTCAGAGGGGGCCCCCAGACCGCCGGCGGCCCGGCCCAGCCCCCACCAGCCCAGCGCCTCACTCCTGAGAAGATCCGGGCTCTGGGCTCGGGGACCTGCTGCAGGCGGCCCTCGGGGCCCACGTGGCGGGCCCACTCCTCCTCTGTGGCTGGAGGCGCCCCCTCCACGGCCGGCCGGGGCCCCAGCTCCACCTGCGGGGACACCGCAGTGAGTTCTGATGTGGGGGACCCCACAGCCCTCCCCAGCCGCATCCCGGCCACCTTCACGTCCCCTCAGCCCTTCTTAGCTCAGCAGACAGGTAATGTTCAGGGCGGGGCGGGAAGCAACTCCGTCCCTGGGTCAGGGACAAAGTCACCCCAAGTCTGGAAGGGCCCCCCAATAACAGCCAGCACCAGGAGCACAGGCTGTGAGCACCTTCCAGTCACTCACGCCCCCCGATGAGGGCGGTGCCGTTATTACCCCCCTTCTCCAGGGACGGAATGGAGGCGCTGGGGGCCCACGCCCGCGGTGGCAGCCCAAAGCAGTGGGGTCCGCCCTGCTACTCACACAGGAAATGACCTCGAACCCGGGCTCGGGCTCGTCGTCAGGGACCGGGTGAAGGTCGCGGGAGGCCCCCTCCGGGTGGGGCTGCAGGGCTCCCCGGAAGAAGTTGGTCACGCGGGAGAAGCTGTTGAAGGTGGTGGAGTAGGGGTCCTGGAGGAAGCGCTGGGGACAGACGGAGGGCTGGTCACACTCCGCCCCCCTTCTCGCCCCCCACACCCCCCCCCTTCCTGGCACAGCCTCTGGCCGCTGCTGGGACTCACGGACACCACGTTGGAGCTGTCCTGGTCGAAGAGCTGGAGGTGGTGGAAGGAGTTGGAGAGCGCGGAGGAGTCATGCGGGAAGACGAGGTAGAGGCGGGAGTCCTGCGGGGAGCTGGAGGGAGAGGGTTTGGTGACGCACAGGCCGAGGCCCCGCAGTGTTCTCGCCTCCTTCCACTGGGGGCTCCCTCCTCTCGGGCCTGAGACCACAGCTGGACCCCAGGGGTGGGCACGGCCCAGGGCGGATGAGGGCCTTCCCCCTCGCCAGTCAGGGCACTGACCACCCCCTCCCTGGTCGGGCGCGAGAGGCAGCAGCCGGGGAAGCTGTTGGACTGTGAGGAGGAAGCTGCTTTCTGTCCATCCATCCACCCACGCTGCTACGCCGGGGCTGCTGGGCCCTGAGCGTGAGAAACTCCAGCATCCTGGGACCGGGCCTGCCTGACACCAAACTACCCTCTGATGTGGCGGTTACTTGTGCCAATCAGTTCCCTTTTCCCGCCTCTGAATCCGTTTGAGCTGCTGCTCTCCCAGCGGAGGCCCTGCGGCCGGGGAGGGCAGAGCCTGGCGCCGAGGGGCATGCTCACCTGGCCAACAGCAGGTAGCGGCTGAGGACACGGAGCAGGGCGCGGGTGCCCCCGCGGTGGAAGTGCAGGGCGGGCAGGGAGCCCCCGGCCTGGGTCACCAGGACCAGGTAGGCCCAGCTGAGGCCTGGCTTGGACCGGCGGATGGACTTGAGCTCTCCCAGGCTCACCCAGAAGGCCCAGGAGTCCCGGGGGCAGCTGGGCTCCGCACCTGGGGGTGGCACCGTGTCGGGAGAGGTGTGGGGAGCCAGAGGGCACATGGCACCTGTCCTAAGAGCCCACAGGAGCCAGCCCCAGACCCCACCCTGGGGGAGCTCTGGGTCACCTCACATTCCATGGAAACACAAGTGAATAAAATGTGAACAGAGCCCCGCCCGGGGGACACGTGCCTGCTCCACATCGGCTCCCTGTGGCCCTCGCTCTGCCCCTGCCCATGTCACCTCCAACTCTCTTCACTCCACACCCCACCCTGGAGCCACAACAAAGGACCAGTGCCCACGCCAAGTGCCCCTCAGAGCCAGGCTCTGCACTGCCTCTTCCTGGAAGGGCTCCCCACCCCGGAGGGATCAGGTGCCTCCCTGGTGCCCCTCCTGCAGCACTCAGACGGCCTGGACTCCCTGGGGATGCCCACAGCCAACCAGAGAGCCTGGCAGAATGAGCAAGGCTGCAAACCCTGGGGACACTGGCCTCCCCCACCCACTCTCCTGGGACTGGAAGGCCAGGGTGGTGGGAGCCATCTTGACTGTGGGCAGTGAAGCCCATGGCACCATGACCACTGAGGGTAAGGTGTCACCACCTGGCCCCCAGGGGTACAGCTCAGCCTACCCCTTGTGGGTTCTGAGCGGCGGGGCCGTGGCTGCACAGTGCTGATGACAGCCCAGTCGGGTTCATAGCCGGGGTCAAAGGTTGGCTCGTCCTCTGAGGTGCAGGAGTCCCCTCCACTGGCATCCTTGGGAAAGAAGGGAAAAGAGAGGGGCTGTGGATTCAGTTTCTGGGTCAGAGCAGTGAGGCTATCCTGGAAGGTAGCCCCGTTGAACAAAGAGGGAAACTGAGGCACAAAGAGGGCACCAAGGACTGGGACTGGGCCAGGGCCAGGACTCAAGCCAAGTCTCCTGGTGCTCGTCATCAGAACATCGCCGCCTGTGAGCGGGAGGTCCAGCAGGCGGGCTGTGCCGGGGCTGCGAGGTCTCAGTGCTGGGAGCAGGCAGTGCTCACCAAACCGCGCTCAGATCCCTGTGGGCCCACCAGGACAGCTGCGACAAAGACGACACTGCGGGGTGGGGTGCGGGGGGGGAGGGGAGGGTGCGGCAGCCGCAGTGGAAAAGCCTGCAGTTCTCAAAGCGTGAAATGTGGAATCACCGTGTGGAATTACCCAGCACCTCCCCGCCTAGGCATGAGCCCCAGAGAAAGGAACGTAAATGCCCACGCAGGAACTCGACAGTATTCCTGAGGGCCGAGAAAGGGAAACAGCCCAGTGTCCACCAGCTGAGGAACAATCAGTGTCAGAGCCACACAGAATATCACTCGGCAATAAAGTGGAGCAAAGCTCTGACCCACGCTGCAACACGGACGGACCTCGAAAGCACCCAGAGCAAAGAACCCAGACACACAGGACCGTGAACTGTGTGATTCCGTCTATGAAATGTCCAGAACAGGCCCATCTGTGGACAGAAAGGAGACTAGTGGTCGCCAGGAGCTGGGGGATGGGAGAGGGGGAGCAACTACTGACAGCTAGAGGGTTTCTTTGGGGCATGCAGGGCGGAATGTTCTGGAATTGGACACTGGCTATGGCTGCAAAATTGTGCAAATACTAAAATCTATTGACTTATGCAATTTGAAAATCTTGTTTTACCATAAAATTGAGCTGTGGTAAGTAAATTCTGTCTCGATAAAAGAAAAAAGTAGCCGGCTCACAGGTTATGAAAATAAGGTGAGAGGTGACGTTAGAATCACAGCAACATGAGAGGGTCCCCTGGTCACCCCTGGAAGTCACAGCAACAGGTTTCCTCACAAGGCTGAGCGGTTCCCCACCTGCGATGAAGCATCCGAAGGTGGGGCGTTGGAAGGAACCGGGAGGAGGGGAGGAAGAGGAGCTGAGACAGGGCCATGGATGTGGGTTCAGGAAAGGGGGGATCAGGTTGCCCCCTGCACTCCCTGCAGCCCAAGGAGATACAGGTGTGTTCCCTGCCTGCATGGTCAGCACCTGCTGCTGCTGCAGCTGAGCCCAGTGACCAGGGAGGAGCCAGCACAGAGGTGCAGCCGTAGTATTTTGGCAGCCACTACTGCCAAACAGAAAAAGCCACAAGCTGGCCGCCTCCCCGCCGCGGGCCAGCAGCGGGCCCCAGAGGCTATAGCATTGAGTATCAGGCCACAGAACCCATTATCTGCAGCCCTGAACACTGGGGAGGCATGTGGCTGATGTGGCTCAGTTGGTTGGGCATCATTCTGGGCACTGAAAGGTTGCCAGTTCGATTCCCGGTCAGAGCACATGCCTCCGGGAGGACTGCAGGCTTGATCACCTCGAGGTGCAGGAGGCACCCAATCAATGTCTCCCTCTCATATCTAAAAATCAATTTTTTTTAAATCTTAAAAAAAAAAAAAACAACTGGAGAGAAATAAGCATCTTTCCCTGAGCAGGAGGAGCACACTGTGGCTAACCCCAGTGATGGGTGGGGCAGAGGTGAGGCAGCTGAGGTCAGGCAGTCGCCATTACTGGGAGAACAAAGCCACCAGCCGGCCTCTCCCCCGTCACTCCGCCCCCACCCATCACACTGCTGGCAGCGTCTGGCTGCAACAGACAGCACTGGGATTTCATGGGTCTGGGGAAGCCCACCGCCACATTCCCCCACAGGGGTGGAGCCCTGAGATGGAGGCAACCTGTCAGAGGAGACGCCCATTCTGAGCAATCCTGAGAAAAAAGAGCAAAGCCGAAAGTATCACACTCCCTGACTTCAAATTATACCACAAAGAGACAATAATCAAAACAGTATGGTATTGGCAGGAAAACAGATCCACAAACCAATGGAACAGAACTGAGATCCCAAAAATAAACCCCTATGCATACGGGCAAATAATTTTGACAAAGGAGCCAAAACACATCCAATGGAGAGAAAAAATCCTCTTCCAATTAACAGCGCTGGGAAATCAGAAAGCCCTAAGCAAGAGAACGAAACTTGACTGTTGTCACCATACACAAAAATTACTCAAAATGGGTCAAAGACCTAAAAACTACATATCCCAGGCTCCCTTGCAGCTACAGTGCCAAACACAAGACAGAGTCTACCAATCCAATACACTAAGATCTGGAAAGTGGAAATTAGGTGAGGGCAACTTCCTGCCACTTTGGCCTGTTGGGCTGATGAGCAAGGAGGAGACTCATCTGTCTTCATCTTCCTGCCCTCGAAGAGGCAACGGGGGCAGCGGTGGGGCTTCCAGGCCCAGTCACTGGCTTTGTAGCAGCGTTGATGACTGTGCCCTTGAACTCAACAGCACCAAGGCTGTCCCATATGCCACAGCCCTCATTCTGGCAGTGGTGGCAGCCCTCTCACAGAGTGCTGAAGTGTCAGTCCCGTTCCTCCCGCCCTGGTGCAATTCTGTCAGCTCCACTCCTCTGCATGTCATCCGTGCTGCCAAAGTAACGGGAGACTAACTCCTGCACCCAGCCCTGCATGTCGAGAGCGACGACACAGAAGGACGCAGCCTGGATCTACCCGTGGCCATTTCTGCTGCTGCGCCCAGGCTGACTGAGCCCCCCAGCAATCGCCTCCCCAGCATTCCCTGCGGTTCTAGGTGGCCTACAGACCCACTCTGCTGCCAGTGGGAACGGAGATGGTATCTGTGGGGAGTCTGAGGACGGAAAGTTCCTGGTAAAAAAGGCACCTACGGGAGTGAACACCCTTTGGTTCACCTTTGGGTGTTGTCGAGGGAGAATACCGTGTTTGGAGCTGTAGCAGGGCCATGAGGGGAGGGCCAGGAACTGGCAGGGACACCTGCCCACAAGACTGCCGAACCAGCCCCAGCAACGCGTCTCTGCCCTCTGTGCTATTTGCCAAATAGCATCTCCCTGCCTCTCAGGCAAACAGCAGGATCACAGCTCAATGAACCCTCCTGGCTGGTGGGGCCGTGCAACGAGTTCTGGCCAAGGGGCTGGGACAGATCACTTCCAGGCTGGATTTTAATCTGGCTCTTTCTCTGCCACAAGGAATGGTGACTGTTTTTGTTGTTCCACTTGTTTATGCAGGCTCCTTGAGTACTTGTGATGAGCAGAGCTCACTGGCCAACCTGCAACTCACACAGTCAAAAAGGCTGGAGCTCCAGAGGCCCTTTTGGACCTAAAACAGCCTTGAGGATGGCTAGGACATGCACGGGGTGGCAGCGCAGGATGGAAGGACACTGGGTCCTCACACACGTGAACCTGTACTTCTGGGCTTTTTTTTTTTTTTTTTTGAGAGAGAGAGAGATTTGTTGTTCCACTTGTTTATGCATTCATTGGTTACTTCTTGTATGTGCCCTGACCGGAGATCAAACCCACAACCTTGGCGTATTGGGATAAGGCTCTAACCACTGAGATACTCAGCCAGGGCTGAACTTCTGGGCTTTTTAATGGGAGAGCAATGAGCTTCTACCTTGTGTAGGCCCGTTATTCCTATTTCTGTCACTCACGCACAGCCAAATGCAACTCCTAACCAGTGCAGAGGGTTTCTGGGAAATTTCATTTTTCTTGATGAGGACAGATGTGGTTGGTACCACACTCGCCCCCTTCTTCTTGCCTTAAAAGGTAGGTGCTCTGGCTGGAGCTGAAGCAGTTATTTACAGCCACGAGGGCAACCACAGTAGGTCTCAGCGATCCAGGTGCTGACGGCAACCATCACAGGCCAGTAGCTAGGCCAGGGGTGGGCAAACTTTTTGACTCGAGGGCCACAATGGGTTCTTAAACTGGACCGGAGGGCCGGAACAAAAGCATGGATGGAGTGTTTGTGTGAACTAATATAAATTCAAAGTAAACATCATTACATAAAAGGGTACGGTCTTTTTTTTTTCTTTTAGTTTTATTCATTTCAAACGGGCCGAATCCGGCCCGCGGGCCATAGTTTGCCCACGGCTGAGCTAGACGGTCAGGGAGTCTGACCTCTTGGAGTCCTGCGTCTGTTTAACCTGCCACCAGCCTGGTTTTGTGTTCCTTGGGGCTGAACGAATCCTGAATGCCTGTCTTCCCTCCTGCTGACGCCCACCCTCTGGGTTTGCTGTTTGGAAGTGAGAGTGCCAAGGACGACAACAGTATTCTCTAGAACAGCCAGACTGCCTTCCAGGTTGGTGACAGATGCAAAACCCTGGTCCTTCTGCCCCAAATCCCTGGGGGGCAGCTGCCTGGGATCTCCATTTGTACCCCCCAGGTCATTTGAAACCCTGTGGCCCCCGCTGAAGCTTCCTCCTCTCCCCCTGGCCCATCACACTGCCCCCTCCCTGACCTTCTAGCCTCCAATCTCCCTCCATCTGGTCCTTTGGCCCAACTCGCACATGCCCCCACCAGGGAGCTTTCTATACTCGCACCTTTCTCTTCCCACGGTTGCCCCCAGGGTCCCCAGGACAGGATCCAAGCTTCAGAGCCTAGCATTTCAGGCCCAACCACCTTTCAGCAAACCCCTCTGCGGAGACGTACCACATCCCCTGAGCCGGAACCCACTTCCTCCTGCCCCTCTCATCTTCAGAATCCCAGCCCAAACGCCTGCTCCCCAAGAAGCAGGGCTCTAGAAGCAGCGTCCTCAGGCTCAAACACAAGTTCCAACAACCTCCTAGCTTTTTTAACCTCGGAAAAGGGGCTTCCTCTCCCTGTGCCTCAATTTCTCAGAAACAGAATGGTCATGAGGACTTAGGTAGGGTCTGGGCGGGATCGTCTCTGGGTGCCAGCACCATCCAGCACAGGGCCTGGCCAGGAGCAGCCCCAGGAGACACGTACTGCGAAGGGCGAGGTCCTGGACTGGGGGAGGTAGGGGTGCCTTGGACGTGGGCGAGTAACCTCGGTCGGGTCCTGTTCCCTCCGCGGACATGACGGCAGGGCTGCCCCAGAGGGAACGCCACCCTTCTTCCGTTCTTATGGGCCAACAACCGTGCCGCCCAATCCTCAGGCCCAGCCGTCTTCTTGTCCCGTGGGGCTCTCCCAGGAAGCAAAGGGGGTACGGGGCAGCTGTCCCCGCGGCCACGAACCCGCTTTCTTCCCGTGAATGGGCATCTTCAGCCCCATCTCACAGAGACAGGACACCAAACAGGGTCACATCTGCCCCGAGGGTAGGCGTGGGACTGCACCCAGCACTTTCAAGTGCCTTCCACTGCCTGGGCCTAGGACGCCAGTGGAGAAGAGGCAAGCTAGGGAAGCCTACCTTCTTGGAGAAGAGGATCTGGGTGGAATCTCCAGCCTCCTCCACCGGAGCCCAGTGCAGAAGGACGTCGTTGTCCTGAGGGAGGGAGGGAGAGGTTAGAGGGGCTCCCCTCCTAACTCCCCAAACCATACTGGCAAACTTCTTCCCCGTTTTAGGCTTTCAGCTTGACAAAGCCTTACCCCTCTCTCCAGTCCCCACCCCCTAAGGCAGCGGTTCTCAACCTGTGGGCCGCGACCCCTTTGGGGGTCAAATGACCCTTTCACAGGGGTCGCCTAAGACCATCGGAAAACACATACGTAATTAATCACTATGCTTTCATTATGTTCAATTTGTAACAATGAAAATACATCCTGCCCATCAGATATTTACATTACGATTCATAACAGTAGCAAAATTACAGTTATGAAGTAGCAACGAGATTAATTTTATGGTTGGGGGTCACCACAACAGGAGGAACTGTATTAAAGGGTCGCGGCATTAGGAAGGCTGAGAACCACTGTGTCCCATCGCTGACAACCAGATGGCACTCCGACAGATGCAGCCTCCACCCCGCTCTGGTCCTGCCCGAGCCCGGCCACCCCGGCCCACCTTCTCCACAACACGGACGACGCCAGCGATGAGGGAGTCCGGGTCTTGGTGCTTCTTGGCGCTGGTGTGCAGGTACACGCCTCCCTTCTCAAACACCACCTGAGCACGGGAACCAGTGAGGGGCGGGGCCCCAGGGCAGAACCACACCGAGGGGCGGGGCTCAGAGGGGAGCCAATGGGAGCGGACCGGGAAGGGGCTATCCCCCCGGTGGGCGGGGCCCGAGAGTGGCGAATCCCAAATACCAACAAACTAGCAAGGCTTCGGGCCCGGAGGCAGAGAAGGGGTCGGGGATCGGGGTTCGAGGGGGTGTGGATTCCAGAAGGGGCGGGGCCTAGGACAGCATCCCAGGGGCAGGGCCCGAAGATAAGGGTCTTCCCTGGGGCAGAGGCGGGGAGGGCGAGCGCGTTATCAGCGGATGGTGTCTCCGCCGGGGAACGGCCGGGCTCCCGGGGCGCGGCCCGGGAAAATAATTATTTACACTGGAAATAACTATTTTATCAATAACACCTTACCTCCAAATTACCCTGTAACCGGCTCCCTCCATAGCCGCGGCCGAGGACCCGCTGACCCGGCTTCCTCCTGTTCCGGGTCAAGGTGCTGTCACGTCCGGATAGGAGCCTCCCCTCGGTCCCGGGAGAGTGGTAGCGCCCTGGCCCGTCCTGGAAGGGGAGTGGGTATCACTATTTTTCTAAATGGGGTGGTGGAACTTGCGCCACGAGCGTTCCAGTCACGAGGGTTTCGGCCCCTCGGCGCTGACGGCGGGGGCGGAGCGAGGGTGCGCAGGCGCAGTGCCCCCGTCCTGACCGCGAAGTAAACAAGGAGGCGGGGCCTGGCCCGCCCCCGCGCCCCAAATCCGAGACGCCTACTCCTTCCCCCGGGTGGTGCCCTGGCATCGAAGCCGAAGGGGTGCCATTTTGCTTGAGGGCGCGGACAAGGACCGTCCGCTGAGGCCATGTTAGTGCGGGGCAGTCTCATCCCTCTGCAGGGCACGAGGCGAGGTTCTGGGAAAGAGAAACCGGGAGAGGAAAAGAAGGTGAGAAGCTGTGCATCGCAACAGGCTCTGAGGGATTCGGGTTAACGGGTTGAGCCCGTCAGCGTCCCCGGGAACGAAGCGGTCCCAGACGAAACCACGAGTCACCGCCGGGAGAAAGCCTTCCGGGCTGCCATATTGCAATTGGGCAAACCGAAGCAGGAAAGGCTGGCCTGTTGGATCTTTGCCAGTCTCGGTACCGAAGGGGCTAGGCCTGAGGGCGAGCCCTTATTCATTATGGTCAAATGATACTAGGCTGGTTGCCATGTCAAGAGCGGGCATGGCTTTCTTCTACTTCTGTGGAGAAGGTTGATTATAAGTGAGGGACTGTGGTCCCGAGTGTTTATGTGCAGGCCGCCATATTGTTTTTTGGGGGGGGAGGGGTCACTCCATCTTTCTTGTGGGCAGTGAAGTCCCCATGGCCGCCATCTTTGGCTCGGGCGGCCCCGCGGAGGAGGCGGAGTGCGCAGCGCGGAGGCGGGCCAAATGCCCGGAAGTGACGTTCAGCGCCGCCATGTCTTTTGAGGGCGGGGACGGCGCCAGGCCGGCCATGCTAGCTCCGGGCACGTGAGTGGAGGCGGGGGTG